AGGCCCCCTAGAGGCTTGCTCTGGAACTGCAGGGATAAATTCTTGAAAATATTCAAAAGGGGATAACTCAAGAACCGGTTGACGGATCGTCGTGATTTTTGGTATGTAGGTAGCTTACGTGATGCTTAATATAATTATGTGACAATTATGCAAATATGGATGTAATTTGCATAATTTATGGGGAAATTCTATAAATCAGCTGCATTCCATGATAGGACAATTGAAGCTTGTGACATTGGTAATTGACAACGAGAGAAACACAGGAAGATATTGATCATGTTAAAAAGAACTTAATTTGCATAATTAATGAGAAAATTTTATAATTATGTAATGATAACTGCCTGGAATTTCATACTTGTGGTATTTGAAAGTTAAATTGAGGTGAACATCATTAAACATAATTTATTGAAATCAGGACCTCATTTGCATAATTTATTAGGAAATGCTAGAATGCATTCTTTGTTAATATAAGACTTTTTGTCTTTTGGTTGAGATTATGATAAAACAATATAATTCATGAAAATTAGGTTCCTATTTCTTAAATCAGGGGGGGATAATCTAATCTAAACTTTGTCAGTCGCGTACGTCATAAAGATTAACATCATTTGGCGAAGGTATGAGATCGGGGAACTCTAGTTTGGTATCAAATAAAGCTATGGCATGGTGACAGCAAAGCTTTGAGATAGACCAGTCTAGGGAAGCCAACTGGGAATCGCTTGGCACAATCATCGTTCCACCCTTTGGCTAAAATAAAAAATGACGCACTGCGAAATACCTACATGTATGAAACGAAAGGAATCAAAGAATGCATACGTGTATGAAATTGTAACATTTTGTAATGTCACGTTTACTTTGTATCATGAAGTTACGACATGACAATACCTACAGCTTTGAGATAGTATTAGTGTAGGAAGGCCAAGTGGGAATTGCTTGGCACATCTTTCTATGCTTTGGTTCAGATTAGGGCTGCGTACCTAAACGTAACATCAGGTACAGGTACAGGTACCGGTACAGAGGTTTAGGTACAGGTCCGGACCTGTACCTGTACCTGAACAATTTGACAAATTAACACGTGTTCTTCACTTTTTCAATCATGACACAGAAACAATAAAAAAGTGTTGACAACTTGTCAGTATCTTCCAATCACAACCCTGGATCAGCCACACTCTCGCGATGTCTCGTGAGACTGAGGATCTCAAATCAATCGACGGTGTTTACGTCTTTTCCAGTGCTATTTTTTCGTCTTTGTGGTAGGATTTACCTATCTTTAGTCATATACATGGTGTAAACTAGCTATTTCGGTATATACTCGTTACTTCATGATCCGGTATTTTGGACCTGTACCGAAACGATTTTTACGGTATTGGACCGGTACAGTGTACCGGTCCGCAGCCCTAGTTCAGATACATGTACAAGTATGACGCACTACATAATCTCTAATAAAAGGGGCTTATAAGAACATGTACGTGTAGAAAATCATAACTTTTACACCATGTAATTTGAGTTTTATTTGCTGTGACAGTCAAATAAAAGTATGTGATGATGGCAGCCAAATTGGCTGTGGATTTATGACTATTTGGCATGTGTAGTGCTCAATAACAGTTAGTAATATATGGCGAATAGAAGGCTGTTACCATGATGGTTTATAATGACATAAAATTACATATATTACATGAATTAAGAAAAATGACATTGACAAGGTGGTTGTTGGTGCATATTTGAATAATCTTGAAGATTTCTCTCCCCATTTCAATGTACTTGATTTTACTTCTCATGGGATTTCCTTGAATAGATTTACAGTGTTGAATCAAAGAATGCACGACACTTTGATATTAATTGCACTTTCATATGAGCTAGCTATAGAATGAGGCTTTTAATTTCATAGCTAAAATGTTTTGAAGGTGTGCAGCTATTTGTCAAATGGATATTCCATTCAAAAGAAGTCTAGAGGTACAATCATGTAAATGTGATAAGACATCTAGATATAGCCCTTCCCAGTCAAATTTCTAAGAAAGTCTAGACTGAATGTCTAAGGCAGTTTCTTAATCTTAAAGGCATCCAAATTGCAATTTCAGGGCGGCAAAACTGGATTTTCAACATCAATTTTCTGGTCATTCTTTTGATGTAGCAATCCTATCCCATAGCATACTGATATCTGTGAGGCAAAAATGTGATGTCACTGATAGTGCTGCATATCGGTTCACTGGACTTGGATCCGGACTTGTAAGAATGTTTCGGTTCAAGTCCAAAAAAACCTAAAAGAACCGAGTCCGGACTTATACCAACCATAAAAGACCATTTCACACACCCCTTTTCTTTCCAAACCACCTAAAACCTTCCGTAGATTGCAACATATTTGCTGCAAAATGAAGAAAACATTGCCATCGGGCATCGACGTCAAGTACCGGCCTCCATGTTATGTGGCCAAAGTTTCACCCAGACAACATTCCAAGGTTGCCAACATGCAATTTTGTATATGCCATGGGTTTAGGTCTGGACTTACAAGTCCACCTCTGGACTTGAATCCGGACCTGAACCTAAAATTGGGTTTAGGTAATGCATCACTAGTTACTGACAGAAAACGGTTGGTTGTTTTGTATCATACTACTATTACTAGGCTGGTTCTAGCTAATTACATGTATGAGTGGTACCCAAAAAATAAAAAAGATGCCTCACATCACTTGCTTCTCTGTAATGTCAATATCATACAGATTTCCTCATCCAAAATATTTGTTTTGCTTCCCTAAAGTTGCATTGAATGCCTTTAAGAGAAGACATAGAAGAATCGAAATTGGGCAGAATTCTGCTTGTAAACCATTGAGGAACCAGCCAGTAATATGGCTTTACGATAGGGCTGCGGACCGGTACACTGTACCGGTCCAATACCGTAAAAATCGTTTCGGTACAGGTCCAAAATACCGGATCATGAAGTAACGAGTATATACCGAAATAGCTAGTTTACACCATGTATATGACTAAAGATAGGTAAATCCTACCACAAAGACGAAAAATTAGCACTGGAAAAGACGTAAACACCGTCGATTGATTTGAGATCCTCAGTCTCACGAGACATCGCGAGAGTGTGGCTGATCCAGGGTTGTGATTGGAAGATACTGACAAGTTGTCAACACTTTATTATTGTTTGTGTCATGATTGAAAAAGTGAAGAACACGTGTTAATTTGTCAAATTGTTCAGGTACAGGTACAGGTCCGGACCTGTACCTAAACCTCTGTACCGGTACCTGTACCTGTACCTGATGTTGCGTTTAGGTACGCAGCCCTACTTTACGATGTACAATAAAACGTAATAGGGTTTCAAGAATTGATCTGCTTAAATACTTTTATTGCTAACAGTAAAATTCACCCCCCAATATCCATCATCTACAGGTGTACTTGAACATCGTCAATCATGACCTTCATGATAACAAGGTTGTGCTTATTGACCTTGAGTGTGCTAATGTGCATTTTGGAGGAAGAAGATGAATTCATATCAATACTCATAGTACTGTAATTATTATGGTTGTAACATAACACATGCATGACTTACAATCATACATTATATGTTGCAATTCTTCTCACAACTTTTGGTAAATAGGGGCAGTGCCCATCTTTGTTTCTGTACCTCTTGGGCCACACAGTGCCAGATAGGGCTAGTCCACCAGTAGTGGAGTAGTGTGTTCAATTCCTGAATCATATAATAGTAACTCTTTCTCATAAGAGCTAAGAAAACATTGCAATTTCTTTAACAAGAAAATCTATACATTTGAGGCTTGAAATTCTTCATTCAAGCCTCAGACCCCTTCCCCTTAACATTGCATTGACATGTGCACCAAATCAGGAGGACTAAAAATTCATTATTGATAAAAATCAAAGTCTAATTCTAATAATGTGAAAATCTAAAATCTTAGAAACTTTAATTTGAGGCTTGAAATTCTTTAAGCAAGACACCCCTTCCCCCTATTTCATTGTACTGACATGTCCACCAAATAACCACCTAATTCAAATCCAAATCTTGAATCCTTAAGTACAAAATGTATGTCTTCTACAACTGTCACGTTAATTTTCTGTCCACAACCTGGAAACCAAATCTGTGCAAAGTCTTTCAAGTCTTGAAATTCCTCACCCAAGCCACCCCCTTCCCCCTGCGGCATTGTACGGACATGTCCATCAAATTACGATATAAATTCAAATCCAAATCTTGAATGCTGAAGTATGTCTTCTCTTACTGTCACTGTCACTTTAATTTTCTGTCCACAACCTGGAAACCAAATCTGTACAAAGTCTTTCGAGTCTTGAAATTCTTCACCCAAGCCACCCCCTTCCCCCTGCGGCATTGTACTGACATGTGCGCCAAATAACGTGGACCCTGAGTCCATAATAAACCTGTTTGGGCTGGTAGTGTCCATTCCACGGGGATTAACAGAGTGATAGAGCAACGCTTCGGACGGCGGGCACGAAAACGACCGGATCATTTCCACATCAGCGGAGAAACTGAGCACGTATGGCGGCAGGCCAAACCAAATTATTTTCTTGGTTTTCGGCTCTTATTCCACTACTTTTTCTGATTTGAAAAATCCGACAATCTATATCCATATTCTTGAGTTATGGTGTTCAACCACAAACTGCTTAGTAATACCAAAACCTGGGTTCTAACCACCGTCCGTCTTTGTATCATTAATTTTGATGGAATTTTGCCGCTGGAAAAAATTTTGGACAATCCGTCATCTTTGACAGACCAAAATTGGCATATAAAGATATGGAAAGAGATCATTAAAATAAATTCATTTAGTCTAGCAGCAAAATTTGCCCCTCAAAATGCAGGAAAAAGCATTTTATAGGCTAAACATTCTCCCCCTAACATAATATTACCTGAAACAGAATTGAGATGACACAACACAAATTTCAGGCAAGCTAGAACTTCAACCAAAATCGTATTAACCTTCTTGGAGAAGGTATTATATGAATAAAAGAGGACTCAGGGGTGGAAATGGTGAACCTACCATGATACTCAACCCCAGACCTCCAGATTTTTGTCTTCTCAGAATAACTGATCTTTCCTGAAGAAAAAAAAGACAGTCAACATTTAGTTCTGTTATGAATGATAATTTTTAATATAATACATTTTCCAAAGGTACAGAATTTGTGGTTAAAAAATTAAATGCAAAAAACAACCTCAAAGCAATCTAATTCAAAGGAAATTTTACTTATTAAAGTAAAACTTTTAGAAAAGCCACTTACTCTGTTGCTGTCAATATCAAAGTTGTTGACCTGTAACAGAAAAAAAGCTTTTAGAATATGTTTGACATGTACAAGAAAAGACATTTTGACAGTTAAACTGACGCATGGCTCTATTAAGGCTGTATCTGAGCATCAAACTACATGTACGCTCTTAAGCTGACAAAGGATTTTTACGGTGTCGTTCATCAAGCTTATCAAACAATTGCAGCTGCCAAAACCTTATCGTTTTGACTTGTTGATGAAGCTAGCAGCACAAACAGATTCAAATCTGCTGGCTTCACAAACGCAGCACCGGAAAAACAGGCCGTGCTACCAGATATCTGCAAGCTTAACTCATGAATGGATGAACACTTTATAAATCCTCGTAGCATGTTGCATATCTTTATATGCAGACCTCAGCAATTGGGGGATTGTGTACTGTATGTACTATGTAAATAAGAAAGATTTTTCTGACAGTTAGATGTCAAGAATATACAGTATACTAGTATACATTTGATATCTTTTCGTACATAAACCTACAAATTATAAAATTTTTGGGTGCACTAAGGTGCACATGCACCCAGTATTTCGAGCCCTGTAGAAGTATTGTTTAGTTTTCAAGCCCTGCTCCCTGCTAGAGGACAAATGATTACCACAGTTGGGTAGTCATCACTAAGTGATGAAGTGGATAGGACTGTGGTATGTAAGAACACACAAGAATAGGGTAATTTTTTAGGCTTGGTACACCAGTGCACCTATTCCCGAAAAGTGAATTTCAAGCCCAGCTTCTGTATACCCAAAAGCACCCAATAATAACTAAAAAAAGGCAATTTAATCTACAAATATAAAGACCTGAACAGGTGGTTGTTAGCGTATAACACACACCTGTGAGCTTATAGCGGCCAGTGAGTTCCCGTAGACTGTCTCCTCTCTCTGTAGTACCAGACTGTCGTCTGTCAGCTGCACACGGACTATCTCAGGATCACGCTTCCCGTCACTCAGGCCAAGGAACCCCACTTTTACCTGCAACAGTGAAAGTTTATTAGACTAACGAAACAAGTGTTTTTTTTTATTAGCCGAACAGTACCCGTGCGGTCGCAGCCTTTTAAGGACTGAATTGATGCAGGGTATCACATAATAATCAATACAAATCACAACAATCAAATTATACACAATGACTAGAGTTCCACGATCTCATACCTTCGCCAAATGATGTTAGCCTTTATGAGTAAGAAATTATAGATTAATCCCCCTGATTGTGCAAATAGGATCCTATATTTGCATCAATTATATCTGTTGATCATATTCTACACCAGAAGACAGTCTTATCTTATCAAAGGATGCCATTATAGCATTTCCTCATAAATTATGCAAATGAGGTCCTTATTTGAATAAGTTATGTTTAATTATGTTCACCTTCACATAACTTTCAAATATCCCAAGTATGAAATTCCAGGCAGTTACCACTATGTAAATATAACATTTTCTCATTAATTATGCAAATTAAGTCTTCATTTGCATAATCGATATCTGCCTGTATTTCTGCCGTTCTTAATTACATATGTCACAAGCTTGAATAGTCCTATCATGGAATGCAGCTGATTTATAGAATTTCCTCATTAATTATGCAAATTACAATAATATATGCATAATTATAATATCATTATGTTAAGCATCACTTCAGCTACCTACATGCCAAAAATCACGACGATCCATCAATCGGTTCTAGAGTTATCCGCCTTTAAATATTTTTCAACTAACGCCCCTGCAGTTCCAGAGCAAGCTGCTAGGGAGGCCAAACTCACATCACTTCTTCCCCAGCACAAGAGCTACCTACCATCCAAATTTCGTCACCCTAGCATGTCTAGATCACGAGATATCAAAACCGGAAGTTCAGCTGCAGTACCATAACAAGCCGCTAGGGGGCCCAAAATTTAATCAGTTCCACGTCTCATAAAGACCTATCCACCTACCAAATATCAAGACAATCCATCTTAGCCTTCTTGAGTTATCGTGCTGACACACACACACACACACACACACACACACACAGACACACGAACGCCTACGAAAACATAACCTTCTTGGCGAAGGTAATAACACATATTTGCTCCACACATTTTTGTGGAACTGTCGCAAGGGTCTGTGCGGCTGCCATTCGGCACCACAAGGCGACCTTAATACGACCTTCCCCAACCAAAGTTAGGTACCCATTCACACCTGGGTGGAGTGAGGAAAGTCGTGTAAAGTGCTTTTCCCAAGGGTACAACGTTGAGGCCCATGTCCAGACATGTCCCGGGTACGACTCGGGATCGAACCCGGGTCTCCCCACTTCATAGTCGAATGATCTACCACTATGCCACCTGACACCACACACAGAGAGAAGAGACACCACTAGGTGGCCAGTTGTAGTAAAGGTAACAAATTTGTTGTCTTAGAATTTAAAGGTTGTCTAGGTATGTTGACGTCCAAGTTACTCAAGAAGTAGGAAAATGCAAATTATACAAATTCGGCGAGAAATTCGCAATAAGGCCACACCAAGATGTAATTTTTATGGATGACATCCTCTGGAAACCATAAATCTAATGCCAGATAAAAAAAAAACAAGAAATGCAAAAAAAAGCAAGACGTCTAAATTTGAAATTTACTTGGGATGACAAATGTTATAAATAGGACACATTAAATGAGAGAACACAGCGTAAAAACCAACCAAGTCTTTTATTCGTCATGGAAACGGCAATAAATCAGTGGAACAGCAGTTGTCGTCCTGTCCTGTTTCTTTCCTTTCATCACATCTTCCCTTATCCCACTGTCGTGACTCTTTGGTCATAGTTACAACTAGTGCTGCATAGTACCTAAACCCACATTCAGGTTCAGGTCCGGATTCAAGTCCAGAGGATTAAATTTTCCGGACTTATAAGTCCGGACCTAAACCCATGGCATATACAAAATTGCATGTTGGCAACCTTGCAATGTTGTCTGGGTGAAACTTTGGCCATATAACATGGAGGCCGGTACTTGACGATGCCCGATGGCAATTTTTCTTAATTTTGCAGCAAAGATTTTGCAATCTATGGAAGGTTTTAGGTGGTTTGGAAAGAAAAGGGGTCTGTGAAATGGTCTTTTATGGTAATAAGTCCGGACTCGGTTCTTGACTTTTAGGTTCTTTTGGACTTGAACCTAAACATTCTTACAAGTCCGGATCCAAGTCCAGTGAACTGGTATGCAGCACTAGTTACAAGTTGAATTTCTTGGTTCTTGGTCTGCGTGCCAATTTCAATGTGCGTGCGGACGTCATCCATTAAAAATTACTTGGTGTGGCCTAACAAATGAAACAAGAAATCTACAACAACTCTAAATACTTCTGGGACGTGATTTCTTGTGTCAGTTTCTTTTTCCCGTTTCACCTTCAGCCTAAGAAGCAATGTCATCTCGTCTCATGTCTAGTCTTATTCATTATTTTCTGACAAGATTTACAGAATCGTGACTCCGTTGACCAAGTGGCAATGAACACCCTGTATACAACCATCAAGTTGAACCCAAAATATAAGGCCTAGAAAAAATGTTTTTTTCCTGTTTCAGTCTTGATCACTGGATAGGGATTAACATATCTTTTTCTTTCTTTTTTTTTATTACACTTCTCTTGACTTGTGATCCAACTTATATATAATAGTTTAACCAAGTAAAACTTGCATGAGGACACTTATATTTTAAACGTCAATGTTGGAAAACCTATTGTACAATGTTTCATCACTCGGGTCGAATATTATGGAGCTAGAAAAGGTCGTTCAGCAAAAAAAATTTATGTCCCTTGCAGTGGTCCACCCAAAAAAGGGCTTAGGTCGGCAGTTTTTTCTAGGGTCTGTCAGGAAACACAACATTTTTTCCCCAGGCCTTCAATGTATTGACTTACAGAGCTTACATCATTGCACACTGCCAATCAGGTACAGAGACCACTCTGTAATTCTTTGCGTGTTTATTGTGCCAGAGTTATGCAGCACGGCACTTGCAAACCCGAGTCAAAAGGTTGGGAGTGTTTTTGGCTATGATAATCACACCACAGAGAACCGTATATGTGCACGTGTGTATGATTGAACTGAGCTTGAGACACAGTAATGTTGCACAGAACAAGAACACAAGTGCACTGGGATTTTAGAAAATGGTTTGATGCAGTTTACTATATCCTATGGATACATTCCCCTTGAATCATTTGACAAGGGTCTCCATGGGGGTTTACATCACATTTGAAGAGGGTCTCCATGGGGGGGGGGTTACAGTTCTTCACATTACCACAAATTTGACAAATTAGGTCAAACCAATTTGATTTGTTGGTTTTCAGATTTTTTCAGAAAAACAAATTAAGCGACAGGGCGAAAAAAAACAAACAGACCTATGCATCCTACAATTATGATAGATGATAGATGGAAAAACTGTAACATCTCTGAAGAGAAGGGAATTGCTTCAATTGTTTGGGCCAAAATATGCGCATTTTGGAGTTGATTCAGAGGCCAAAATGTTGTTGTTTCTTTTTCAAATCGGAACAAAATGAAGCGGGTGAATCTGTGAACCAACAAATTAAAAATTGGCGTGGCCTTATGAGGAAAAAACAGTTTTCTGGAAATTCAAATAGCTTGCCATTGTACATACATTTGTATATTGAAGGCATCCAGTGCAGTTTTTAGGGCTTGGAAACCCGATTTTTCAAAGTCAATAAATAGTCATTTATCTTACATACTGAGTTGAAACCACACTCTCCCAATGTATATTGACCCTCGTGGAGCAAAAATACCCAAAATTCTGACAGAAAATGGTTACTGGAAGGGCCCTGGGCTGATTTTTAGGGTACCTCCCATAAAATAAAGGACTCATCTTGGGGCTTGTTTCTGCAGTTTTAAGTACCCAAAGTATGAAATAATGATTGAAATGCGCTAATGTGAAGCATGCCAATATCATAAAGATTGCCTTATTCAGAATATTTCCAGTTTTGCTGCTCTGAAATCACATTGGATGTCTTTAAGCTGCAATTTTATCTGTACCAAGTGCTATATGCAGGTGGTATTTTCAGCCCTGGCTACAATTGATATGGGAGGTATAAGCCCTACTAATGGGTACATAAGTGGTCTATAAATAAGGGAGATTATCATTGAGATAAACCAAACCAATAAGGCACACCCAAATTAGCGTACTGTTTATTTTTCCTCCACCAAACTAAGCTTTTAACATTGTTTTTAGGTTGGTCCTTGAGTCTTGGATTATCATAATATACTGTAAATTCATTTAATTTTGTGTCGGTTATTTCTCGTGGTAGAATGAAAAATAATGTTTTTGGTGTGTTGTCAATATATGGTTGAAACAATTCAATGTAGTAATTATATTTTTTAAGGTAGAACCACTAAAATCATGAAAATAAACCAGTGCAAAAGTTTCTGCATTTACAGTAATTAACCAAAATATTTTATCTAATAAACAGTCATTTCTCATGTGAGAAACATTTGAATGATCCTAACTAAAATTCAAGACTTTGAGGATTTTGAATAATTTGCAAGTGCAATTATTGGAGCATATACAGTAATAAGCCAGTCCCACTTGAAGAAAAAAATAGGGGTGGAAAAACAATGCTTACAGATAAGGGTGACCAGATGGCGTCTTAGACCACTTGTCCGCAAATCCACAAACAAAGGAGGATAAATAATGTGATAACAGACCGCCCAGGTACAAGTATCTTGTCCCTATGGTGCAAGCAGTAATACAATGATCCCACTGTTTAGCCATATGGAACATTCGATCCCAGGGTCTACTGCAATTTGGACAAAAAAATAGAATGTCGGCTTTACTTCGAGGATGACTATTCCGTATTATTAAAGGTATCAGCCTAACAATGGATGACACAGAATGAACCCTGTAGAATCCTATTTATGTCATGTCGTTCGTCCGTCAGGTTGACGAGGACCGCTTATGTCATACCCAACCAAGAAAACACACACTTCAATGCAAAATCTGCTTGAAATTTAGAAACTTAATGG